GGGGACTTGGGGGAACGGGATGAGGAAAGTAGCATAAAAAATTATTGTTCTAAAAAAAAATTCTACTCTCTAACCAAATATTAGAAAATATTTTCCAAAAAAGGTTTTCACCACCAAACAAACAAGGGAAAATAAGTGATAGAACCACTCATTTTCCACACGTACCAAACGCATCCTTAAGGTTTTCTATTGTCAAACAAAAGAAGAGTTCAATTGGGAATTTGGGTCTGGGGAAGCATATTCCATATTGATACAATCGTTTATTGACAATTCAACTGTTGTGTGGAGTTTGCCTCTCTCATAAAGTCATAGGAAGAAACTTGTAAGTAGAATTTTTCAAAATGTTAAGATTAAGGTGTCATGGACTGTGATTAGTTGGCTGGTCCCAGAGTCCTGCAGGATAAAAGAAATTTGGTGAGCTACCTAACTTCCGACTAGGCATGGATTTAGTATTTCCCCATTATTACTACTTTAATTAAAGAGAGAAAGGCTTCATAGAAGTGGCTGCTGACCAACAAGTTAATACAACTTTAGTCCTTTATGACTCATTTTAAACATACTTTAAAGGAAAATCATAAACGATTCTAAGTTGTTAATATAAGCATCTACGGAATAATAATATGAGTTTAACTTATACATATTGATAGTTAAGTGTAGTTTTTACTGCAACAAATCAGTTGTCATATTATTTTATGTTATTTTGGTGTCCGGATGAACTAGCACGCACCTAGACTACTTCAACGAATACCTGCTATCTCCTACCGGTACAAGTACTGCATTTACCATGCTTTACAGGTTACCAATCCACACTTGCTATAAAAGTTACCTGCAATTGGGTTTTAACTTACCTTTATAGTGTTAATTTTTTTCAAGAATTGAATTAGCCTAGAGATCTTTTCTCTTTCATGTTGACATCAATGCAAATCCTTTTCATCGTCATGTACTTCAAATTCAGATTACAACAAGAAATACAGATGAAGTGAACTGAGGCATTGAGTCCCATGAAGCTATAATGATACAGTTCTCTAACCTGGGAAAATCAAGTACTTCTATGTAATGGACAAAATCAAAAGCAGATCATTAAACCCTAAAAGCTTGAGCATATGCCAGAATACAAATTCAGAGGTCTAACCAATTGCATTGGCCGCAGAATGCTTTTTCCTTTTAATTCAGAATGAATATAAGCATCAATCGAAAAGCCAGTGCTTCTTGTACAATTGTAACAGACACTAATTCCTAATCATTGGCAGGTGTACCTGTGGAAGCTGATCAGATTGCAATTAAACAACCCTGACAACACATCCAAGCAACCACAATACCCAGCAAAGCCCCAGCGAAAACCTGGGATGGGGTGTGGCCTAGAAGTTCTTTTAGCTTTCTTTGACTGATGGGATGCCCTTGGAATAAGTCCTCAACGATCAGATTGAGAACCTGAGATGACAGAATAAGATTTGATTAATCAGAAAGCTAAGCATGTCCCATCTGACATAAATGCAAGTCTCCACAACAATGGTCCAGTGGTTGTGCAAAAGAATTACCAATTACCTAAAAGAGATCCCTTTACTGTTATTGAAAGGGGTGTAAGTAAATTTTTTGTGATTGTTGACACAAGAGATGAGGAAATATACAGAGCATCTACAACAAAAAGATGACAACTTATCCACATGACTTTAGCACTGCGGATGTACTTACTTCATTTTCAAAGAAGAACAGATTCTCGTGTAGAAAGAGCATGGAGAGAAAAAAGAAAGAATTACAAGAACATACACATGACTTCACACCATAACAAAAAATGGCTCATGTTTTTAAGTTTTACCCGACCTAGCCCACATTGTACATATTTTAAAAGCACTAGCAAATTCAAAATCCGTATTCTTACAACCATTGCTTCTAAAAGCTATGGAGTTAAATCTGTGTTTTCACAACCATTGCTTTCACTCTCTCTTCTTCTCACATCTTCTACATACGCTTTAAGGGGCCGTGTATTTTCTGCTTCTCCTCTTGTGTCACCTGCTTGAAATGTAAGAAAATTGAACAGTAGAAGTTTCCATTGAAGACCAATCTTTGCTTTTGAAAATGGATTTTTTTGAATTTGTTAGTTGTTTGGATTGAGTGTTGTTCCAATTGATTGAAAATATCAAAAGGAGTTCAAAATTTAAATTTGGAGTGATTTGGAGTAGATTTGAGCAAGATTTGAGTTAAATTTCAGAAAAGACACAAAGAAGAAGACGAAGTCAGTTTTTTGTATAATTATGTATAATCTTGTATAATAATGTATATGAGTGTAGAAACACACCTTATACACTATTATACATTTTTATACATCTTTATACAAGCGTCTGTAGACAAACTTCTTTCACGATTTTCAGTTGCAATTCTTGTTCAAAACCAGGCCAAATCTCCATTAAATGACTTCAAATTTTATATACAACCTCCTTATACTATTTCTAACAAGTCTAAATAACACCACTCCAAATTTCTCACCATATCAAATTCGGAATTTAAACCCACATATTTAAGCTTGTTAAAAATTTAATTTTCACCACCCAAATGAATTTAGTTTGTTGAACTAATATTTGAGTCACAGTTATTGATTCGAAAATTAATTTAAAAGCTTGAAGAATCTCTTTTAAAAATTAAATAGTAATTTTGAGAACCTATTAGAGTCGGATGTTGAATCTTAGCCTAATATTTTTGGGCTAGTTGGTTGTAAATTAAAATATGGGCTATAAAATTGAAAAGTAGGGAGTCCGGTTGTTCTAATGTGAAATTTTCCCGAGAAAAAACGAGGAACTATGGGAAGAAGGAATCTGATGCTAAGAGAAAGACACATTCACCTAACCCTCAGGGGTTGGCCTGGTGGGAATTGACTTGAGCCTTGGGGTTTGCTCCCTTTCAAGGTCTCAAGTTCGAAACCCACTGGGTGCAAACAATTTTTGAGGGCCATTGGACTGGGTAAAACCTGAATTAACCGTGGTGCACTTGCGGGAAACTCTTTGCCGAGGGCCTGTGCACCCCCGGGATTAGTCGGGTCTCGAAGAGACTCGGACACCCGGTGCAAATCAAAAAAAAAGAAAGTCACATTCACCTAAAACTAGGATAAACCTGCAGCAGTTGAATGTCACCAAGGATGAGACTCCTCAGAGTTTCACTTGGTATTATTCTTTTCTAAAGGGGTTCTTTACTCTGGTCATAAAAAGGTCTGTTGATCAATAGCGCAGTTAAGGTGCCAAATCTTTAAATATTTAGCATTCTAGTGAAGCTAACCTTTCCACAGCTAGCCTTTACACGACACATATTTTCCTGATTCCCATTGTAATAACATTATGGAGGAACCTCATGGGACATGCGAGTAATTTATAAGTAGAATCAACTTTATATCTACTCATGAGACAAACAAAAGCAATGAACAATTATTCATAGACAGGTGGTTCAACTTGGGAGTTTTTGTACAGTTGACAGGTCAACCTAAAACATCAACTGTATAACCTTGAGACTGGATAGAGAACGGATTACTTCACAGCTAGATAGCATAAATGATGATGATCCTAACATCAGAGTTAGATGTTCAGTACGCTATCGCTAATTTCTAATAAATCAAAGCAGATTGAGCAAATGTGGGCCATTATGGAAGTCCAACAGCTTGAATTTATTTAGAATAGCTACTGATATTGTGAACATCTTATCAAGTCATGTGGTCAGGGGATACCCAGCTAAAAGTACAGGATCAAAATCAGCAGCTTCTGACATATGGAAGGTATTAATAAGCCATTTTAGGATTCAAGAGAATAAACATGTGTTGGTTTCCAATTCGCCAGCCTTTTCTGCTCTACGTTTTTAAATTCATGCCTAGGCAATAAATGACCTAAGGGCCACACATGATATTTTCTATACATTCTTAAGTCTTAACTATAAGCAAATACTGACTCCTAGAATGGTCATCTGGTAGAGTTATTATTAGGACCTAGTCAATTTACAACCTAAATGATTCAGGTACCAGAAACCTCTTTCATGTTTTTCATGCTACTAGCCTAAAATAAATAAACCCTGCATCAATTCACTACTACAATTAAAATGATCGTAGGGCTTGTAAGTCGAACCACATTATCTCCACTGTTTTCGAATCTTTCGTGATAAGGATTACACCTTTACATTCTTGCTATCCTGTACCAGCCAACCATATCACGCAATTAAAATACTCACGAGACCTTAAATACCAAAACAAAACCACTTCGAATTTATTAATAAATCAATGAATTAAGAATTAACTAGGTTTAATATCAAATCAGTTGGGAGGCACCTAGATCATATTCCCACAAATTACACACACAAGAATGAGCAAATTGCCTAGTATGAACAAACATAAAGATTAACCACATCTTGCAAAAAGAATACAGAAAACAATATGAGAAGTAGTTAATTACCTCTGCTTGCATCCCAGCATGCCGTCTCACACCAATAGCATCATACATCACAATTAAACTAAACCCCAAACAAACGGGAAATAATGAGTCAGCAACACCATGACAAATAGCAACTGAGGTTGTCAATGCCGTGCACAAAGCTGTATGAGAAGAAGGCATTCCTCCAGATGCAAACATAATCCTAAAGTCCCATTTTCTCTCCACATAGAAATTCAAAAAAACTTTCATCGACTGTGCCACCAACCAAGCTATAAACCCCGAAACAAACGTTGGGTTAGCAGCTAATGTAGCTACAAATGGACTTATTTTCACCTTTGCTGTTGAAGTTATACTCAAAAGAGCCATTCCAAAGCTTCCATTTTGCAACAGATTTCCGCTAAGCTTCTCTGGAACATTCTCAGGGCCACTACCACCTCTTAAAAAAGAGACCCATTTGTTCATTGAGGCCTTTGCTGCAAAGTCTTTAACTTTCTTGAAAATCGGGAGAAGAAGTGAAAAGGGTTTTAAGTATGAGCTCTGATTTTGCCATTGTGAATTGGGGTTTTGGGGATTTAAGGATGAAACAGTAACTGAAGACGTTTTCAATTTCTTGGGTTTTTCGAATCTGAAAAAACAGAAAGAGGAAAGATTGAAAGAAGTGATATTAGAGTTTGGAAGGTTAAGAGGGAGTGCTCTATAAGCGGAGCTTATTACGAAAGAATCCATGAAAAGATGCCGAATAATCGGAGTTCAGGCAGCATCGAAACAGAGGATGAGAGGAGAAAGGGTGGCAGTTTCGAGAGGCATTGTGAAATATTTTTGTGGAGAAAGGAGAACATAGATTGGTATAGTGTAGAGGTTGTGATTGCACCAGTTGCTTACTGCCAAAATTCACAATTTTGGAGATATCCATTTCCCAAGAATATGCTTATGCCTCCTTGGGTCATTGGTGGTATTTTTTTTTTTTTAACCCGATATCCGGTACCCGCATTAGAATCCGATTATATTTGGATTTGCGTTGCGTAGGGCTCCATTCAGAAATTGGTGGTATCCTTTTTTTTACACCCAGTATCCGATACCCGCATTAGAGCCCGATTATATTGGAATTTGCGCTATGTAGGGCCCCATTTGAAAAAAACACTCCTTGCCAAGGATTTTTCCATACCAGGCTCGAACCCAAAACCGATCAAGGGAGCTTTGGTGGTGGTGGTATCCCTTATTTTCTCAAATATGATAATCTTCCTAATGTATATGCTTCTTTATTTATGCGCTATACTCTTTCCGTATATTGTCATGCATACCTTTAAAATAATATAGATATATACAATAGCCTCACATTCGTTTGAAAATAATATATTAATTTATGACACAATTGAATCGCCAGTCAGAAATCAAAATTCATTTAGCAGCCAAATTGCGAAAATACATTGCTAGTATAAAATCCTACACCCTTCAAAACTGAGGGATAATAGGTTCGCGCCTTTTATCTTTCTCTACTTAAATATTAGGTTTAATTTATATGGTCCAGGGTCACACATTTACTAAGTCCCTTACTATTTAACATCACTAATTCATGTTACAGTTGAATTAATATAATTTAACTTAAAATCTTAAACATATGACGCCGGTAAGTTTCTACGCTAATAGTAGCGCAAAAGGAGAATTTGAATGCTTTTTTTTTTTTAGCATTTGAATGCTAATTCTTTTCTGTTTTGCGAGGAATGTCATTTAAGTTGCGTCGCATTGAAGATTTTCGTTTGATTAAGTACTTCTTATCGATGTTCATTCTAATAAATTGAGCCGCACTAGAAGTGAATTTCTTCTATAGTTGTCCGAATCCATCCTAGTTGTCAAAATTGATATTTTTTATTTGCTAAACTTGATCGACGCATCATTTTGAGTTTATGCAAGACTATGTAATTACAAAAAAACACCAAATATGAATGCATTAACGTGTAGATTGGAATGTCAAAATGTAATGTTATGGATTAAATTTTTGAACCGGTAAAAGTCATTTGTCAAAAAATTAAAGTTGACTTACTAGCTATGTGTGATTTAATAAGTTGTTATTTTTCACTAATGAATCTTGTGCGAAATGTGCTACTTTTTGCAGCTTATAAAACATGTGCTTCTTAACTCGAGTAAATTTCTCTCGAGAGACTACAACGTTAGATCTATTTCTTGGCTCGCAACAAATTAATAATACTATTTTGAGTAATAATATCAGACTGAGAGATTTTTACATATTTTTACACTTACAAAGTAGAGAGATTGAGAGAGAGCCTAAAGCTGGCTCAAGTGTTATTTTTATCCAAAATGCTTCCTAATAGAATAGCATTATATACCAAATGATTGGGTCACGAGGAAGGTTCTCATTTTTAAACATTTCTATTACCTCCATTTAGTCAACGGTGACTTCCGGTACTGGTTTTAGTTCCTGCACGAGAGTTAGAATATCAGAATTTCAATGTAATAAGCGATCAAACATACTTCATATCCAGAATGATTTATCTTTTTCCTTTAAAAACTAAAAAGTTTTCTTAGTGATCAGCATTTTATTACACAAGAAAGATCTTCTCATTACATTTATACTATACTTTAGGTTAAGTGCATCCTGTATGGGTCTAAATATGACCAACCACGGCCTACAGCTACCACGACGGGTAACAGTAGACCGACGAGTTGGCATAAGGGAATTGCTCAGGGGTGGAAAGGAATACGACCTCGCATCATTGCTAGAGTTAGATAGACTTTAATTTATTGTCCTTATAATTATGAGAAACCTCCTGTGACGACCCAAAGGGTCATCACCTGTTTTTTTTTCTTTTTTAATCAATTCTATTCTTCGGAGGCCTTGAAAACCTCACTTAGAATTGCCTCGATTTGCGTGCACAGTCCGGGCACGTAGTCGGAAAGCTTAAATGTGAAATTTTGCGAAAAATACTAAGTTTTGATGTTAAAATGAATAAATTTGACCCTGGTCAACATTTTGGGCAAACGGACCCGGACCCGTGATTCGACGGTCCCGGAGCGTCCGTAGAAAAATATGGGACGTGGGCGTATGCTCGAAATCAAATTCCGAAGTCTCAAGCCCGAGAAATGAATTTTTTAGAAAAATTATTTTCTGGAAATGTTTAAGAAAATTGGAAATGAAATCTGATTAGAAAGCGATGGTATCGGGTCCGTATTTTGGTTCCGGCTCCCGGTACATGTCTTATATATGTTTTAAGTCCTTCCTGTAAAATTTGGTTAAAAATGGACGTTGTTTGACGTGATTCGGACTTGAAGTTCTAAATTTGAAACTTGATGAAGTTTGAGGAAAAACTCTTGATTTTGAGGTTTGATTCATTATTTTTTAGGTTATTTAGGCGATTTGATCGCACGGATAAGTTCGTATGATGTTGTTGAGTTATTACATGTGTTTTGTTAGGAGCCCCGAGGGCTCGAGAAGTGTTTCAGAGGTGTTTCGGAATGGCTTTAGACTTATAAAAGTTGTAGGTTTTCCGGTTCTGGTATGTCCTTCTTCGCGTTCGCGGGAGTACCCTCGCGAATGCGATGAGTAAAATATTGCTGAAGGAAACTTCCTTCTACGCGTAAAACAGGTCGTGAACGCGAGGCAGCCGGGGGCTATACCTTTGCGAACGCGTTCCTGGCCACGCGAACGTGAAGGCCAAGTGGCCTGGGCAGGGGGGAAAAGGTAGAAAACCTTACGCGAACGCGACCTTAAGGACGCGAACGCGAGGGCTCGAGAAGCTATAGCTTCGCGATCGCGAGCCCCTCAACGCGAACGCGAAGGCCAAAAAGCCTGACCCATCACGAACGCGTAGCATTAAATCGCCCGGTTATTTTTTTAAGTTTCAAAAACAGAAGGCAAACGGGATTTCTCAAAATTTTACAAAACTTCTTCTTCTCCAAAGCTCCTAGATGATCGTTGAAGCACTTTTTCACCAAAACTTCTTGGGTAAGTAATCTCCAACTTGTTTTTTTCCATTTTCTTCAACATCTAATGAACTTCTAGGCCTAAAACATATGATTAAGGGTAGAAAATTAGGGATTTTGGTAGAGTTAGGGCTTTTTGATTTTTTTTAATTTAGACCTCGTTTTGGGGTCGAATTTGAAAATAAATTATATATTCGGGCTCGTGGGTGAATGGGTGATTTGATTTTGGTCTGAACCTCGTGTTTTGACTAAGCGGTCCGGGGTCGATTTTTGGGTTTTTGGGAAGAATGATGGAACATCAATAATTAGGCATTGGGTTCGCATTGTTTAGCATTTATTGATGTATTGAAGTCATTTATGTATAGATACAATCGATTTGGAGCCAAATTCAAGAGGAAAGGCGGTAATTGAGGATTGAATTGGCCGTGGAAGTTTGAGGTAAGTGTTCGGTCTAACCTTAGCTTGAGGGATTAGGAGTTGAGTCATATTTGCTATGTGTTTCTTGTTGAGTACGACGTATAGGCATGGTGACGAATATCTATACGTTGGTGTCGAGCATGACCGTGAGTCTTAAATTGATACTTGTTGAATTCTTGAATAATACTATGGTTGCAATAATGAGTAAATCTGTGGTATTGACAAAGACTTAGTTTGTTTTCTTCGTGGAAGATACTTATGAGTTAGAAATTGTGATAATTGGGATGTTTAGGAGTTGAGTTGAGGTTGGTTATAGCTGATTCTCCCTTGCCGGGACGTTTATATTTGTATTGTTGAGTTCCCTTGCCGGGATAGTGTAATTTATGGTAAACCCCTTGCAGGGATGGTTGTTGTGATTACTGTAAGCTGTATATTTGGAATGGATTGCGCGCCGCAACATTTTTATTAATGTATACAAATATTGATCGGGTTGCACGTTGCAACAGATATTATATATATTGGATCGGGTTGCACGCCGCAACAGATATTATATATTGGATCGGGTTGCATGCCGCAACAGATACTATATATATTGGATCCGGTTGCATGCCGCAACCGTTATATATATATATATATATGGATCGGGTTGCGCGCCGCAACAGTAGTCTTATCATATTGTTTTAGATACTGTACTGTTCTTTCGTATTTATTTGGTATCTGCTAAGTTAAATTGTTTCCCCGAAGCATGTATCCCCTCCCTTTTACTGCTTATTACCTGTTTACTTTTCCGCCATATATTATGTAACTGCACATGTTTATCTGGAGTTTGGTCCTAACCTTGCTACTACCTCGCCGGGGTTAGGCCAGTCACTTACCAGCACATGGGGTCGATTGTGCTGATGCTACACTCTGCACTTATGTGCAGATACCGGAGCAGCATACGGTGCGCAGCAGTAGGTCAGGAGCCATCCTTCAGTCCACCGAGGCACCGAGGTAGCCTTGCAGACGTCCGCAGGCCCGGCGTCTCCTCTATCTTACATTTCATTCTGTTATCTCATTTATCCGAGACAAACAACTTTATTTTCTTCAAACTGATGTATGTAGCATTCGTAGTAGTCCGTGAATGTTGTGACACCAGGTTCTGGGTAAAGACGTGTATTGGCTTCTAGACATTTTGGTTTCTTATCTATTCCTGACTTCCGCTAAATTTTATTTTTCCGCTGTCATTTAACTGCTTATTCATTATTAATTTAATTGTTTAACTTGTATAAAATGAAAAGGATAAATAATTTCAAAGGTTTATGGCTTGCCTAGCTTCCACGAGTAGGCTCCATCACGATTCCCGAGGGTAAAAATTCCAGATCGTGACAAGATGGTATCAGAGCTCTAGGTTACATAGGTCTCACAACTCACGGACAAGCTCAGTAGAGTCTAAGGGATCGGTACGAAGACGTTTGTATTTATCCCCCAGAGGCTGCAGAGTTAGGAAAAACTTCACATTTGTTCTTTCTTGTTGTGCAGTTTTGTTT